ATCCCCGGAGAAGCCTAGTGACCGGCCGCGTGTGAGCGGAAACAAGCGGAGAAGAAAACAAACAAATGACACAGCGCGAGGGGCCCCCGGAGGCCGGCCACGCATGGAAAGGGCGACCGAAGCCGAGAAGGGCCGAAAGACGCCGCGCGGTCATCAGCCAAGCCCGCCTCCTCCGGCCCGGCCCCGCCGGCCGGCTCGCCTTCCGTCGTGCACCTGTGTCAGGTGCTGCAAGGGGGGGGGGGGGAGAGCAGGCCTCTCATCTGGTGTGCCCTGTGGCAAGGGTGTTATTATTATTTAGACCATATTAAAGGGCCTATATTTTCCGGGCTGCGACGTTCTGGTGGCCTCCCTGCGGCGGTGGCCCCCCCCCCCCGTCCTGGCCCCGGCCCCGGTCGCGGTCTCCTCCCTCCGTCGGGCACAAGGGACCGGGCCCACAACGGGCCGGGGCTCGCGAAGAGCGGTCTGTGCGGGTGATATGGACGTCGCCGTCTCTCCCCCTGGGGGCGGGGCGGGGGTGGGGGGGGGGGGAGAGGGACCATGGGAGCGGGCGCCCCCGTGAGCGCCGGTTTGGGGCGACACGGCCAGCTGCCGCGCCGGCCCGGCCGGAGGGAATGCGCCCGCGGGTGAGCGCCGCGACCTGCCGGTTGCTGGCTGGTGCCCGCCCCCCGGTCGGTGCCCGCGCGCGCGCGCGCGCGCACGATATTTCCACCATCGGGCGCGCGATCCTCGGCGGAGTGTGGACATACCAGGCCGCTCTGGTGGTTGAGCCTGGCAATTGGCCCTCCCGGCTCTCCAGTCTATCGCGGAGGGGAGCGTGTGCCGGCGCGCTTTGGGCGCGGCTCTGCGCGCGCACAAGCCCCGGTACTTTGTGCGCCTGCAACCAGCCGCACCTGCACGCAGGGTGTGCCCCAGCGGCGGAGTCGGTCCTCCGCCCCCCCCCCCCCCCCCTGTCCCGGCGGCGGCGGTGACTTGCGGACTCGGTCGGCGCCGAAGCCGGCACACAGAGGAACAATAACACCAAAGGAGCGGGACAGGGCACGGTGCGCGCGGCCCCCCCGTCCCCCCGCAGGCGCCCGCCTCTCGCGGCCGCTCTCCTGGCGACCCTCGTGTGACCGTAAGACCCCTGCCCCCACCCCGCCTGCAGGGCGCTGATCCGCCTTTTGGCCCGCGCGACGCCGGTATGCGGCAGACCGTGTCCGCCATGGCCCCGTCCCCCCCCCAAAGGGAGGAGCCGGGGATGGTGTGAAGGAGGA